TTTAACATATATAACTTGTTTTTAAATCATTTTGCTTCTTATTCAGAAAAGGGAATATAACTACAAGCTAAAAGATAATCAATTTATGATCATTTCCCTGGGATAGGTAAGGAAGCACATTGCATTATATAAGTTGGAGGCAGAAATAAATCAGTCCAGTGATCTGCAGGCTGTGTATACTGCAGAAATGATGTAAACCATCTCTCTGCTAGCAAGTGGCAGTGCATTACTCAGAGCTCTGGCAGAAAGGTAAGGGCGTACATATTCCATTATAACCTTCTAGTCAATGAGATACAGCATGTTTTTCTCATTGTATGAGCAGGACAGCGGCTAGGATACACTGTTAAAATTGGAGCAAAAAGCTGCCAAAGCACACTGTTGTTTCAAACCTATACAACAATATATACTATCACATGGCAATTAAATTAAAAACTACTTTTTCCAGGAAAATTCTCTTTGGAAGAGTCAGCAAATAAAAAATAATTTTATAGGTTTGCATCACACACTGATATCATTCGTAGTAATTTCTAGAATGGAAAAACAATTGTATGTACTATAAAGCATTTTAATATGTTGTGCAATATTTAAGGTTTCTGCTCACATGAGATTTTTTCTCAAAGGGAAAGCTTGATTCCTCAAGGGACTATATTCTTATTAGAAGTTACTACCAGTGGATATCCTCAGACCTTTGGAAAACCCCCTTCTTAAATGTAAATTGATTTGAGAATCAGATGTCTTTTCTATATACGCAGAAAAAAGTTTACAGCACCAGTTAATATTTCATGCCAAGGCTTAGGAGGAAAACGTGGCTGCTTTTCTGCGTACCACTTACATCTAAATAGGTATTTGTGCCATAAGTAGTTTGTGAAAACATCATTACAGTGAGCTTTTTCAATTTACAAATGTTCTAAATCTATGGAAGATCTAAATTAACTCTAAACAAATTATTCAAAAGCAGGAAAATTACTTTGTCTATAGCATTTTGAAAGTGTATAATATATTAAATTAATTTATAAAGAAAATATTTATAGTCATTTCTTGTTCTCAAAGCTTTATGTTGGACAGTTACTTGATTCATTATACACTATGCACCTACCATACAAAAATGGCATTACTCAGTTTCATGAATCTGCTTAGCAGGGCCATAAGGAGTCATAGATTCCATATATTCTAGATAGCCATAGCCAAGGAAAAGATCAAAATGCATGGAACAAGTTCAACTCAAGACAGAATGAGCAGAAATTCAACATGGTGTGGATGCCAGTTGTTCACTTCCCTTTGTCTGCTTCCACAGCACAAGAGAATAGATATTCTAAGCAATAAGAGGTAACAGTATAACAAGCATGTTGATAGGAAGCAGCCTGTCATGTGGAAATTTGAAAATGCCAAAAGTTGACTCAAGCAGATGAAACTGGCTGCTTCCAGCAGTAAGTGATAAAATTTCAGTATGTGAAGTTACAGAATAATTAGCAAGAGCTGACCTTACTGCAGACATTAGAGGACTGATCCTACAGCTTTTACTGACACAGGCAGCCCCATAATAATTCAGTGTAACTACCCATATGAGTAGGGCTGGGCTGTAGGGGTGTGTCTAGATTATAGGGTTTTGTTTACAAAAATTGGCTTTTGTCAACAAAACTATACCTGCGTCTACACTACTGCCACGTTCTATCGACAGTAAGTTGACAGAATGCGGCAGTACTGTCGACAGCGGTAAACTTCACTTTACCTTTTTTCGAAAGTAACCTTTGGAAAAAAAGGTTATATAGTATGAAAATTGTGCTTTTTCAAGAGAGAGCATCTAGACTCTCTTTGGAAAAAGCGGCTTGCTTTGTTGACAATACTGATCATAGTCTAGATGCTCTTTTTCAACAGAGGCTTTGTCAACAGTATCTGTCGACAAAGCCTCTGTCAAAAAAGGCGTGCAGTCTAGACATGGCCTAGGCATGCAGGATTCAGTGAACAAAATATAGTCTTCAGCCTTTTTGACTCAACTTGAGAAATTGCTAGAGATCATAAGAATGCAATGAGGCTGACCCAATTATTCAGAAAACTGATTACATCTCATCTGCAGTGGCTGTACTGATGCCACAAAATGACCATTTCATTCTGTGAAAACATTCAAAGAAGAATCTTAAGCAAAAAAAGGGAAATATTTTAAATAGTGTTTTAAAAAATATAAAAATGGGGAGTTGCATTTAAGGAAGAAACCATTTCGCTAATTGTCTCCAATTCTCTAAATTGACATGAAAGAAGATATGTGACTAGTAAAATGAGGCATATTTTTTCCTCTCTTCTCTTGAGAGGAGAGCTAATTGTAACAAGAAATGGGTACCAAAGGAGTAGCAAAAGCTCTGTTCAGTCTCTGTGAGAAATCTCATATGCCAGAAGGATAAGCCTGAAAATATCTATTATAGCATCACGCTATAGTTACAGTCTCAATTAAATTTCCATTGTAAGTCTCTGTAGCTCATACAGAGTAGAAGTCAAAGTATATAACTTTGGAGAAAGACACATTTTTCCCTGATACGCCTTTTCATTTTATAACTTGAAGAAAATCTGTTCAGGTATTTTAATCACCCAAGCAGAGAAAAAATATTTTTCAGCCACAGAAAATATTGCTGAGATGCTTTTTGGCACTTGTAAACTAAAGAACAGTTTCATCTATGTCAAGAAAGAATTAACGTTTTTCAAAGTTAAGAGAAAGATGTTAAGAAATACATCTATAAAACAAAGAAAAACAGAATTGTGTCTACATGTATCTATTTGCCTAAGGCCTTTTGTTCACAAAAAAGTCCACTGATTTAGCTAAATCCATTTAGTTAGACCAGTGCTTCTCAAAGTGATCCAGGGCCCCACTCTGAGAAAGCAGCTACCGAGCCGCTCCGGTTTGTTTTCTTACCAGCTCCTCAGCCACGGCTCCCATCGGCTACCGTTTGTTGTTTGCAGCTAAGGGGAGCTGTGGGAAACAGCGTGGCCCAGGCCGTTGCTTCCTGCAGCTCCTCTTGTCTGCAAACAATGAACTGTATCTGATGGCAGCCGCGAGGCTCTGTGGCTGCAGAGGTGTTAATAAACAAACCAGGAGCAGCCCGGTAGCAGCTGTCTCAGGGTGGGTCCGCAGACCACTTTGAGAAACACTGAGTTAGACCAGTGCAATCTCCTATGTTGATATTCTAAAGGCAGATGTACACTACTAACTTGCATCAGTGCAGCTGCATCACTTCTGCTGAAGAGGCTCTAAGCCAGAATAGGACAATTCTCCCATCACCTGAATAATTCTACCTCCATTCTACCTCGATGCAGTAGCTATGTTGGCAGGAGAAGCTCTCCTGTCAACATAGCACCATTGACCTACAGGGGTTAAAGTAGGTATAAATATGTCACTCAGGAATATGAATTTTTCACACCCTTGTGTGATGTAGTTATACCAAAAGTGAGCATGTAGTGTGGACCTGGACTAAGGTTGCATCTATACTATGGACACTGCTATGTCAGCATAGTTATGCTGGCATAAAATTGCCACCCACCTGACAGAACAAGTTTTTCTGTTGGTGTATGAATATCATCTTCCTGAGCCAAGTTAGCTATAATGACAGATACTTTCATTGATGCAAATGAGTACACAGGAGACTGGGTTAGCATAGCTATGTCAGTGTGCGTGGATTTTTCCCTCATCTCTGACTGACACTGCTCACCATCAACCTAACTTTTAAGTACCGACAAAGCTTATTTTCATCTAAGTCTAGCTTATTTCAATTCAACTTGCATCTAATTTTAAATGATCTTAGTTAAACTGAAAAAAGCCTTGGTTTAAACAAAGGAAAGGGGAAAAAGGGAAAGCTTTTTGTGCTGGCTTAACTGAAAAAGTTTCAAATCACATCTTAAGTTAAACATGTGAAATATTGCATGTAACCAAGCCTGTAGTGACTAAGGCCTGGTCTACTCACAAATTTTGTGCCAATATAACTATGTTGATTTAGGAGTGTGATTTTTAGCAATACAATTATGTTTGTACAACCCCTATTGTGAACACAGGTCTATTTGAACAAAGGTGCCTTTTATCAGTACATCCACAATCAGAGGCCTCACATTAACTACAATATGTGCACACACAAGTCCTGAGGTACACACCAACAAAATCTGGAAGGTTACCAAGCGTGCCTGTGACCTGCCAATACATTCATCTGGGTGAAATCACTGGGAGTTTCAAGTGCTCAGAACTTGGCAGAAATGAGCTCTAAATGGAGTTATTCAGATAAGAGACACAAGTAATGCAATTATACATAGAATTCTGTATACCTATGAGAAAACTCAAACATTTATTTGAATCTCATACTATACTTTATGATAAACATTTATACTGTGAAATTCAGTACAGTTTTCTGTTTTAAAGTAAGGAAATGAAATGTGCACAATGGCAAATTATGCTGCATAAGTGTTATATTTTTAAATTAAATTAATTCAAGAAATTCAAAGTTATGGTTTTCAGAGCCATCATACCCTATCAAATTAATATAGCACACACACCCACCCACCCACCCACCCACACATAAAATTCACAAGTTAACTCTCTCTTTATGTTTTGTATTTGTGTATACATTGATAAGGGGAGAGGAGTTTGTTACTCCAGAAACCATAACTTTTTACACTATCGTTTGAAAAATTTAGGAAGTCACAGACAACATAAGTCACAAGTACATGGTTAAGGAAATATTGCAGATTGTGGGTTTTTAATTGAGAGAAAAAAAAGTTGACAGTCTGCCCAGAACTAAGAGGTCTCCTTTTAAAAATATATTTTACATTAATATACCATCAAAAATGATGTAATATTTGCAGCTGAAACATGCATTTTATTAGCACATTGTAATTTAATCACCATGTCCCAAAAGATGCAATATCTTTTTTTGCTGAACCATATAGCACTAGATCTAAATGCAGCTAAAATAGCATTGTTAAAGCAGATCAGAAGAATTCACAACTTCAAAAAAACTTTTTTTTACCTTTACTGAAGAAGCAGCATATAGCATATCTTCCAGATTGAAATGGCAACACTGGTTCAAATATTCCTGACAAAATTCTTGAATGAGCTGTAGATTGTATAAGCTATCAGCCAATGACATGGTCTCCTTCAAACAAATATCTAAAATGAAAGAGGAAACTGAAAAGTTTAGTTATAGTTACAGCTCAGAAAATAAAAGTCTTATATTTAGTAAGTGCTTAGCATTTTAGAGGTAGATTTTAAAAGAGAGAGAATTTTTGTCAAAGATTTTTTTTTTAAATTCAGTTTGAATTAGATTTTAATTCCAGAATCTTGGAGGTCTCTCATCTTACTTTTTATTCCATCGCATTCTTATAAATTTGTTTGTATGCTAATAAAGCAGATTACCACCTTGAATATTTTGTAAAACACACTATGGTGGTTGGTTTTTTTTTTTTTTTTTTTTTGTAAATGGTCATTGTAAACTATGATTTATTATTGTCTTGCTGAAAATAAGTTATGATCTAACTCTTTACCCATTTATTGTTTTGAATATTATCAAACATAACTATAACTGAAATATGTTGCATGGCTTACAGTGTCCCTCTTGCAACAATGTGTTAAATGCTGTAATACAAGTAGTATGGTAAAAGGGATTATACATCTATTAACTGGAGTTCTCCAAGCATACTGATTTCTTACCACTGAACAGTCACTCTTGAGAAAAATGTGCCTCAACATCATAAACTCTATAAAAGCAGCATCAATTTGGGCACCACATACCCTCTTTTGAGGATCAAAATGTTCAAAATGAGTTTATACAAGGAATTGCAAGCTCTGGTCTCTTTCTTTCCTTTTACTATTCAAAATACATTTTGGACACAGAAGTGGTAAAGGTAGGTGGGTGAGTGTGGTTCTGAAGCAGCAATATATTCTGCATACATGTACAACTAAGTAACTTTCCTTCAGTAACTGCGTCTTAGGAGATATTACTACTAGTCTAACTTCTTAAAGAAATTCTTACAAAATGAGGACCTGAAGGAAATAAAGTAAAGAATACATCTTCAGACTTCATTACTAAATTAAGGGAGTACAGCTAAGTGAAGATGTGAACAAAGTTTTGTATGACAGATTTGCAGATTTCAGGGTGGAGACATTTCTCCAGCATGCCACGAAATTTGTCTTTCAGCTATTAGGATGGGCCACCAGGAAGGAGGATTTCTGTTGGTCATAGATAGGAACAAATCATTTAGCTAAATCTTTGAACGGAAACGGATATAAACTGGGATGTGGTCACAAATGCAAAAAGAAAAAAACCTCTTGAAACAAAAAGTTCGCTTTTAAATTAGGTAGCAAATCAACTTTTAAATGAAAATATGCAGGTTATATTCTTCTGTTAAATCTGGTTTGGGAGATGGAATTCGGAGATCAACCTAAGGAGGAATTTAGGATATAGACTAGGGATGTAAAAAAAGTAATGGAAAATTTCAGCCGTTACATGGTTACACGCACCCACAGCGCATGGCGGCAGCCAGCCCCCTGAGAGGCAGCATGCGCCGGGAGGCGTCTTTTAAGCTAGCTCCCGGCCAGCTCCCGCTTGCTGGCCTCATTCCCAGGGATACAAAGGCAGCAGGATGGAGTGGCAGCTGGCTCCCGGAAGCTGGTGCATGCTGGGAGCCAGCTTAAAAATTGGCTCCCAGCACGTACTATAAAATCATAGAATCCTAGGGCTGGAAAAGACCTCAGCCCCTTTCCCAAAGCAGGACCAACCCCAACTAAATCATCCCAGCCAGAGCTTTGTCACGGAGGACTTAAAAATACCTCTAGGGATGGAGATTCTACCACCTCCCTAGGTAACCTATTCCAGTACTTCACCACCCTCCTAGTGAAATAGTTTTTCTTAATATCCAACCTAGACCTCCCCCACTGTAACTTGAGACTATTGTTCCATGTTCTGTCATCCGTCACAACTGAGAACAGCCTCTCTCCATCCTCTTTGGAACCCCCCTTTAGGAACTTGAAAGCTGCTATCAAATCCCCCCTCACTCTTCCCTTCTGTAGACTAAATAAGCCCAAATCCCTCAGCCTCTCCTTGTAAGTCATATGCTCCAGACCCCTAATCATTTTGGTTACCCTCCACTGGACCCTCTCCAATGTGTCCACATCCTTTCTATAGATGTGGATGCAGTACTCCAGATGTGGCCTCACCAGTGCCGAATAAAGGGGAATAATAACTTCTCTAGGGGTATGTCTCCACAACAAAGTTATTTTGAAATAACAGCCATTATTTCGAAATAACTGTACTAGCATCTACACAAGCCAACCACTATTTCGAAATTAATTGGAAATAGCGGAAAGCTGTGTAGATGCTTATTTTGAAATAGAAGGCCTCCAGCCCTTCCCAGGGTGCCCTGCTGGCCACAACCAAGAAAACTACTCTCCCTCCACCTCTCCCCGGAGCCCTTATAGGGGTAGAGTGTGGCCACGGTTCCTGTGCCAGCTCCAAGCCTGCCAGCCCAACAAACAGTCTGTCCTGCCCCTGACCTAGAGGCCCCAATATGAGCCAGCAAGCCACCAGCAGCCAGCCGTCCACAGCTCCCCAGGAGCAGTCTGCCAGCTCCCAGGAGTCTGCCAGGGGCTGGAAAAGGCAGGCGCCTTCCTGGTTCAGTGTGGAGATCATGGATTTCATTGAGGTTTGGGGGGATTCCTCCAATGTCCAGGATCTCCACACTAGATGGAGGAATGCAGCTGTCTATGGCAGGATAGCTGCCACCGCACCCAGGAACAGGTGCGGTTGAAAATAAAAGAGCTATGGCAGGCATATGCCAGGGCCACAGGGGGCATCTCCCAATCAGGGGCAAACACACCAAGCTGCCCTTATTTCAACGCCCTGGACCACATCCTGGGGGGCAGGACAGTCCATGCCCCCCATGTGGTTGTCAACCCTGGGGCAGAGGGCCCTGACCAGGGCAGAGGAGGAGGAGAGCCAGGAGCTGCGGTAGGCCAGATGGAGCATGCTGAGCAGCCAGGACCCCAGAGCTGCCCCAGCAGACCTGTCGCTGTTGTCATCTGAGGCCAGGGAGGCAACGACAGGTGAGTGCCATCACTGTCCCTTTATGCGAGGGGGAGGAAGAAGGGAGAACATAACAGAAACCAGGGACTGTACACGTGGGCCTTGCTGTCCACGGATCACGCAGCAACCTGTGCATGTGCAAGCATGTGACATGCCACCCTTGGGCATGTGGACCCAGCTGGCTGCCACACAGGGGCCTTACCTTGTTAGCCACACGTGTGTGAAGAGGAATGACATTCTCCTGACTCCGGGGTGGGACACAGCAGGATGCCCTCCCTCCCGAAGGCCACTCTACACAGAGGCAGGGGACATCTTCCCTCCACCACACTATATAGAGCACAGGGGCATGGGTGTGGTCTTGGGGTAGCTCCCACTCCCAGGGATAGCAAGACATTCCGAACATGGCCTCTGTGCAAGCACATCGGCTCTGATGGTGCAGGGAATGGTCATCCTCATCTTGCAGATGGGGGCTGGGCTTCATCCACTGTGTCCCCAGGGATAACTGACCACTTTTCTTGTTTCTCTACAGCCGCACCAGCTGCACGTGCAAGGTGCACCATCCTACCCTGGACATGGTCCTGCACCCGAGGGGTCTGCAGGACCATCTGTGCAGTGGAGGGATACTTACAGCAGCACCTGGAGGCACTGCGAGCCCTGCACTGCACCCTCCAGCACTGGGTGCAAGAAGAGCTGCAGCTCCAGCGGGAGCAGCTTGCCCAGGGACGTGCCATCTGCCAGCACCTGCAGACCCTGGTGCAGAGCGTGCTGCCTCCTGCTGCTCCAGCGCCTGCTGTCTCCCCAGCTACTGCTCCTCCTCCTCCTGCCACTTCTTCTTCCCATCCCGCTTCTCTCTTCACACCCTCCATCCCCCTGGGGACGCCGAGGCCCCCGCACCCATGGTGCTGGGAGACAGTTGGCCCGACAGGACCCCCAACCCTAAGCCTTGAGCTTCCCCTCGCCCTTGTTCCCTTTCCTTCCCCCTTCCAGCGTCCTCCTCCCAAGTTTCCCCCTCTCCTCTCCCACTGTCTCTCCCCCCTTCTCCCACCTCCTTTCGCCACTTCTTCTTCCCATCCCGCTTCTCTCTTCACACCCTCCATCCCCCTGGGGACGCCGAGGCCCCCGCACCCATGGTGCTGGGAGACAGTTGGCCCGACAGGACCCCCAACCCTAAGCCTTGAGCTTCCCCTCCCCCTTGTTCCCCTTGCTTCCCCCTTCCAGCGTCCTCCTCCCAAGTTTCCCCCTCTCCTCTCCCACTGTCTCTCCCCCCTTCTCCCACCTCCTTTCCCCAGTCTCACCAGAGTTTCATTCCCCCCCACCCCAGTTTTGTTAAATAAAGAGAGTTTGTGTTTATAAAAATACATGTATTTTATTTGACATCAGGAAGGGGGGGCTAGGGAGGGGTAAGTGGAAGGACGTGAGGGAGGAATGAGGCACAAGCTCCCAGTGGGGCACACCAGGGAGACTGTTAGTGCTCCTCGGGCTGGAAGCTCTCCCACAGGGCCTCCTGGATACTGACAGCCCCCCGATGGACCTCCCGGATGGTAGCCTGCAGAAAATGCAGCCAGGCTCACAGCAACACCTCCAAGAGAAGCACCAGAGTGCCCAGGGGCAGCTCTGGCTCCATGTTGCAGAGTGCTGTCGTGTCCCTAGTGAGGGCAACCAGAGCACGCAGAGAAAAGAAATGCTTGCTGTCCCTTATAGAGCTAGGCAAGAAAGCAGGGAAACCTGAGAACCGGCTGTCCGGGGGGATCCCTTTAAGCACAGGCCTCAGATAGCCTCAGGCAGCAGCCACACAAAGTAACTCCTGACTTGATGCCTGCCAAAACTGGTTCCAGGCGGCCTTAAATACAATTCAGTGTCCACTCAGCGTGGACATGCTAATTCGAAATAGCGAAATGCTATTTCGAAATGTATTTTGTGTGTAGATGCTTTATTTCGAAATATCTTATTTAGAAATAACTATTTTGAAATTAGATATTTCAAAATAACGCTGTAGTGTAGGCATACCCTAGATCTGCTGCAAATGCTCCTCTTAATGCACCTTAATAAGCCATTAGGCTGCTTGGCTACAAGGCACACTGTTGACTCATAACCAGCTTCTCATCTACTGTAATCCCCAGGTCCTTCTCTGATGAACTGTTACTTAGCCAGTCAGTCCTCAGACTGTAACAATGCTTAGGATTCTTCCATCCCAAATGCAGGATTCTGCACTCGTCCTTGTTGAACTTCATCAGATTTCTTTTGGCCTAATCCTTCAATTTATCTAGGTCACTCTGAACCCTATCCCTAACCCTCAAGCATATCTACTTCTCCCTCTATCTTAGCGTCTTCTGCAAACTTGCTCAGGGTGCAATCCATCCCCTCATTCAGGTCATTAATAAAGATGTTGAACAAAACCGGCCCTAGAACCGATCCTTGGGGCACTCCACTTGAAACTGACCACTAACCAGACATTGAGCCATTGATCACTATCCGTTGGGCCCGACAATCTAACCAGCTTTCTATCCACTGTACAGTCCATTTATCCAATCTATACTTCCTTAACTTGCTGGCAAGAATATTGTGGGAGATCGTATCAAAAGCTTTGCTAAAGTCAAAGTATATCACTTACACTGACTTCCCCAGGTCCACCAAGCTAGTTACCTCATCATAGAAGCTAATCAAATTGGTCAGGCATGAGTTGCCCTTCGTGAATCCATGTTGACTATTCCTGATCACTTTCCCCTCTTCAAAGCGCTTCAAAATGGATTCCTTGAGGATCCCCTCCATGATTTTTCTGGGGACTGAGGTAAGGCTGACTGGTCTGTTGTTCTCTGGATTGTCTTTCTTCCCTTTTTTAAAGATGGGCACTACATTTGCCTTTTTCCAGTCATCCGGGACCTCTCCCGATCTCCACGAGTTTTCAAAGATAACGACCAAAGGCTCTGCAATGACATTTGCCAACTTCCTCAGTACCCTCGGTTGCATTAAATCTGGACCCATGGATTTGTATATGTCTAGCTTTTCTAAATAGTTCTTAACCTGATCTTTACCCACCGAGGGCTGCCCACCTCCTTCCCATACTGCATTGCCTAGTGCAGTAATCTGGGAGGTGACATTTTCTGTGAAGACAGAGGCAAAAAAAGCACTGAATCCTTCTGCTTTTCTCACATCTGTCAATAGTAAGGGCATTCAGTAAGGGCCCCATGCTCTCTGATCACCCTCTGATTGCTAACATGCCTGTAGAAACTTTTCTTGTTACCCTTCAAATCCCTTGCTAGCTGCAATTCCAGTTGTGCTTTTGCCTTCCTGATTGCTCCCCTGCATTGTCGAGCAATATATTTATCCTTCCTAGTCATATGTTCAAGTTTCCACTTCTTATAAGCTTCCTTTTTGTGTTTAAGCTCACCAAGGATTTCCCTGGTTAGCCAATCTGGTCACCTCCATATTTACTTTTCTTACTGCGTATTGGGATGACTTGGTCCTGTGCCTTCAATAAAGCTTCTTTAAAATACAGCCAGATCTCCTGGACTCCTTTCCCCTTCATGTTAGCATCTTAAGGGATCCTGGCATCATTTCTCTGTGCGAGTCAAAGTCTGCTTTTTCTGAAGTCGAGAGTGTGTATTTTGCTGCTCTCCCTTCTTCCATTGGTCAAGTTCCTGAAATCTACCATCTCATGATCATTGCTTCCCAAGTTGCCACCCACATCTACTTCCCCTAAGCTGTGCATGGCCTCTGGTTGATTCCTTCAGCACTTATACCAGGAAGTTGTCTCCAACATTCTCTAATGTTTGCCTGTGTTCTGCTGTATTGGTCCTGGCTCCTGCTTGGTTATATATGGTCCCGGGTCCTGCTCCACTCCCAGGGAATGAGTTTCCACCCTGCTCTGTGAATTTTGAAACAGAACCTGAAACGTGGGGTGACAGCTGGCTCCCTAGGAGCAGGGCAGGAGCCTGCTTGTAACCATTCATGGTAACAGATAAGCCCAGGCTTGCTGGTTAACTGTGTAAGGTGTTATCCTATTACATCCCTAATGTGGGCACAGTATCACTTTAATCTTACTAGGGATGTGAATGACTAGTCAACTATCCAATAAGCAAATGCTTAGCGGATAGTCAATAGACTAGCTGACTAGTCGCTTCCCCCACCCTTGCAGCCTCTATCAGAAAGAGGCAGCAAGGGTGGGGAGAAGAAGGGGTGCTTCGAAGTGGCAACGCTGCATGAAGCTTGGGGCCAGACCCTGGGCTCCATGCAGCGCTGCTACTTTGAAATGCCACGTGCAGTCCGGAGCCAGCTGGGAGTCCCCACTGGCCTGGGCTGCACACAGCATTTCAAAGGCTTCAAAGTGGCAGCTGCTGCTTTGAAACACCATGGGGAGCACGGCCCCATGCTCCCCGTGGCGCTTTCACCTATGAAGTGCAGCAACAGTCCTGGGGCTGTTGTTACACTTCAAAGGCGGAAGCGCCCTTATTGACTAATTGATGCAAATTGCATTAACTATTTGATTGGCCAAATAATCGAAATTTTACATTCCTATATCTTACAGAACAAAATGAAGCCTCATTTAGCCTGTTTGTTGATCTAATAGCTACTGAGTGTGCAGCCTTTGAGGGGCGAGAGTAAAAGTCTGGTTGGTACGGAGTTCTAATCTCAGGAAGGTAAAGGTTCAGACTAGAAGATATATAAGAATTGTGCCCTATTCAGTCAGATAAAGAAAAACTTTTGTTCGCTAGATTGGAACATTATGATAAATTGCTAAAATCAGCCAGGTGGACTTTAAATTACCCAAAGAAGCCGCAGGCATTTTATTTATTTATTTATTTATTTTTAATTAAAGGATAGCTGTCTGTCTAGAATACAAAGAATGAGAAAATGACACTGGATCTGTTTCTACAGTTTCCCTGTTTATTAAAAAAAGCATCTCTATTTTAGTCCATACCATTCTGGTAGCTGGTTTCTTTAATTTCAAAATGAGCTGGTACTTCTCGTGTCAACATTCAACACGAATATCTAATAAGTATCAAGAATGATGCCATCAGATAGAATAAGCTTCAATAAAGAATTTATATTTTGGTGCTTTCTATAATACTCACAGAAGACCCCCAATTGCCTCTGACCTCATTTCTTAGACAAGAAAGGGAGGACTTTACATGCATATTTTTAAAAGGTGACAGGATATCATGGCCAGAAGATCCAAATAACAAAACTGGGACACTAAAAGGATGACATGATCCCTGTCTTGCTTCATTGTTCCAAAAAACAGCAAGTAGAGGTATCTGTGGGAAGATCCCAACTCCAGGCCTAAAAAAAATGCTTCAGTCCAGAATTCTAAATCTCTGTCTTCAAACAACAAGAGGATAAGGGGTGCAAAGTCCCAAGGAGTCAGCGTTCATGGCAGCCCTGATTTCAATGATTCTCTGATTAGAAATCCCATATAGTAACAGCACATGCCTGGATATAACACTTCCATAACCTACATAAGCCACCTTTTTCCAATCTCATGAGCCCAAGAAAAATGACTGGAATTTTTCTTTCTTAAATCTGGAGGACGGTGATATTGAAGGCACTGGGGGTATTATCCGGAATGGTTTTGCATGAGGATTTTATTAATTCAGATCTGATCAAGCCTGAGATCCATACACATTCTCCTTGATTACTTGGATCACATGTATTCCCAACAAGGTTGAAGTTTCCATGGGGAAAGCAGGAGCCAGAGCCTGAGCAAAAAGCCAAGACACTTAAGTGTCATATGAAGCACACAGATTAAAACCAGATTCATTATTCTGGTCTGTCAGGAGGAAGATCTGGTTTGAACGAGGCCTCAGAACATAACAATGGCATAAAGTTGCTCATCACTGTAGATAAGCACCAGCTTAAAACTCAACGGAGTAGATCAAACACATTAAACTGTGTGTTTTATTTTTGTATCGACTAACACTGACATTCCAGAAGCTGTCAAGTTAACTAATAAAGTAGACACGTGAAGAAACCACCTGCTGCACAGTGCAGCTACGGTGTCATGGTGCTTAGTCAACTTGCTACACAGTAAGAATGAAAATGAGGGTAGCTGGGGTTGTGGGCCATTTATATAAATTTGTAACTTGGTCAGATGCATGGAAAGGATTTACTTGGCCATAATGGTCACCATTTGTTAGATAGTTCCAAGACTCATGGCACTGAGGATGTGCTCTGCAGATTCCTCACGCTTGAAAGTCAGCTCCTTATGGAGTCATCTTTACAAACTTATATTTGCTTGGTTATGTATGGAAAGTAATGGCAAACATAATATTGGGAGCTACCCTGATACATGGTGCTCTTTTTAAAAAGAGAGAGTTTATGCACTGGTCACAGCTTTTAAGAATCACTCAAATTTTACCTCTTGTATGTCCATGCTCTTTAATGCAACCATATTAATTAATACCAAAGAAAAGTTCATTTTATCTTGCTTCACCATCTTTTTGGTGACCGATTGTCATGTCATATACATACTTACCCTCCAATTTGACAATTTCAGGACAGTAGAAGTGGATCAGAGCTGCTAAAGCACAACCATCTGTACCATCCTTCAGCAGATTTTCTACCAGTGGAATGCAGGGCAGCTGCTTAAGCAATGTTTGCTCCTTTCTGTAACGAGCCTACCATGTAGAAAGAGATTAAAAGAGACATCTGCTCAGAAACATATATGAAAACAGATTTGTACTGTAGAGTCCATGTCCCATTAGTGGAAAAACTATTGACTAATACCAAGTCAGACACCATTTTGTCAGTCATTACTTTCTGTAGATTAATATTTGTGCTAAACAAATAAGCAAAATGTAGACAGATTTAACAGGAAATAAACCCGTCCACTAATTTTGCCACTTTCATTCAAAACTACTATGCTACCAAAATTTGATAAACTATATAAAATATTCTAATTCACTCTGAACTAAGATAGTTCACTTGTCACTATCAGGAGACATTCGGTGGCATTCAATTTCATAGCATTAAAAATTACTTAGCTGTCTAACACAATGAGCCAGATACTCAGCTGGTGAAACTCAGAAAAGCTCCTTGAAAATGAACGGAGCTATGCCAATGTAGACCATATGATGATCTGAACTAATACAAGATTCAGTTTTGAACTTGGCAGCACGTCCTAAGTAGCAAAATCTGGATTTGATAAGCTCCGTTTTCATTATTAATCTGTGTTATACAGACAACAGTTCATCAAGAAGAATATTCATGGTCAAGATTACTAGGGTAAACAAACATTACAAAAAGAAAAACCATTTTGAAAAGAAAATTTTTTTGCTCTAATTTAACACTAGTCATTCTTAATGTCTCTTCCCTTATCCTCTGAGAAGGCAAAAATTTAAAAAAAAGTACCAATAGTATGATGTATTTACTAACTTGATATGATTATTGAGTAATTGACCTTTTAATTTTCAAATAGTACAGAAAGTTTACTTCATACTACGTGCTAATTAGGATGTCAAGAATATCCCTTAGCTAACTAATTTTATGTTTATGTTTTTTTAAAGTTACATGTATATTTAGATGAAATTAGAGGGGTCTTTTTTAAATTCTGAGAATTCACTCACTATACGCTTTAACCATGAAATCTATACTTTATGGTCACCAGCCTTTTGGTGAGAAACAGATGCGATTCCATTTGGTACATTTCAGTGTCTCTCTTGCACTGGCCAAAATGGGGGACTCAGAGATGTAGTACTCTCAGACTGCATCACTTGTGGAGAGACACCAGTCCTGAGAACTGAAATCAAGTCTTTATTCTAGCACACCAGAATGGTACAGATAAATATTAAAACACTAACTGGTTAAAAGTTAACTAGTAAGATTTAAAACTGCACTTCAAGCTTGAAATGTGGTGCCACTATAGCATTAAGTATATTGTTATATGAAGATACAAACGGAAGGACAGTTTTCCCTTGCTGTAGTTAAAGAAAACTTGTTCATCTTTCATGTATTATTAATATTTGATTTACATATGTTAGTAGCACTTTACCTACATTTAAGCAAGACACTTTCTTACTGTCAGCTTTTCCCTCCACCTTCACAATTGGCAATTCTTTGCTCGTGACAACCTCATCTATTGTCATGGAAATCTCTATTATGTCACAAATATAGAATTATGCTTTTCCTCCATGGAAATGGTTCAGAAATGAAGTGTGAAGAGATATGTTTTGAATTTATTTTACACAGCAATAGTGGAGAAGATACAAACACCACAATGTATAAACTGACTCAAAATCATAATTAAAAATTTCTTTTAAGTCAATTTTTAAAGAACATTTTACATTTGTTTTAAATACAGAGTACAGTGGCTGGCCTAGCAGCACATCACACTATGCTACTACATGACGACTTTCTGGAAGAAAGCTTCCTGTCATTTAAATGACTCAAACTGCCTTCTGAATAGTGTAAAATTCTCTTTGGGAATTATATCAAACCTTTAAGGTACCATAAAAGCATGAGTATAATGCGCACTTTTTTCCCTGTTTATTTAGGCTCAAAGCCAGGGTGCGCATTATACACAGGAGAAATTTTTTTCAAGTTTTAAACTCCCCCTCCCCTCCGCACAGAAACTTTCCTGCTGCAGCGCAGTGCGGGAGCTGCCACACTGCCAGGCTCCCAGACAAGGCGAGGAGCCGGTGGTGCCACCAGGCTGCAGCACCCTGGCTTGCTGCCTGTCTGGTGCTCCTTCAGGCTGCGCCTGGAAGTCCCTAGGGATTCCCACGGCAGTGCGAGCTAGGCGTGGCGCACGGGCAGCTGTCCACTGTGCGTGCATTTCCCGGGCAAGCCTGCAGGTAGGAGCGGCATGTCCCTCTCTCCCTCTCTCCTGCAGCCCGGAGCTGCCTTTGGGAAGTGGGCGAGGCTGGGCTTGGTGCTGGTGGATTAGCTCCTGGCTCCTGGTGCAGCGGGGCAGGCAGTGTTGGACTTCAGAAATTCTGGACTTCAGAAACAGGTTACCTCCTGTTCTCCTGTATGCTGGGCTGCGCATTGTACATAGGAGTTCAGTTTTTTTCATTATGCTAAGATTCTAAAGTCAGGGTGTGCATTATACATAGGTGCGCATTATACTTGCGATTTTACGGTAGATCTGAAAGAAGATGATTGTTTGAGAGAACAGAAGTACCAAACTTCAAGAAAAATTAGTTAAAATATAATCAAAACTAATAGGTTGCTCAAGGTATATGATGTTGTATGATATTGTATGATAGGAATTTACTCTGCATTTGATAAACAGGACAACAGACATTATACTTGTACTACTTCATATTACTGTGTAGCCAGCAGTGACTTGTTTTATTTTTAATCTGGAAGTGTCATAATAAATGTGGCCCTAACAAGAACATTTTAACATGTTTATCAAAGCATTGGTACCATGTTTATCAAAGCATTGGTACATCACTGCTTTTTATAGCTCTACTGCAAATATAGATGAAGTTTCTAATATACTGCTAGGGAATTATTGGTAAACTAATGCTTTATGCAAAACAGCTACAACAAAAGGTTTATTCTGAAACAGCTCTTCACTAGCACCTGGTTTTATGGAAAAACTGTGTGTCAGATTATGATTTGAGGTGTACTTTATTTTTGTAGTTTACTAATAGCCTACTTTTGGCTTTACTCCTCTCCCCTATGTTAGTTATGCTGTTGTCCTTTTACAGGCAGTCCCCAGGTTACATGGATCCGACTTACATCAGATCCCTACTTACAAACGGGGTGAGGCAACCCCGCCCTAGCTGCTTCCCCCCAGCAGACCAGGGAGATGTGGAGCGGCTTTTCTCAGCAGACACCTCAGCTTGAGAATAAAGGACTGAGCGAAGTGAGATGTGGGAGAATAAAACTGAGCTCTGGAGAAATGTTTGGCTAGAGTTTCCCCTACAATATGTACCAGTTCCGACTTACATACAAATTCAACTTAAGAACAAACCTACAGTCCCTATCTTGTACATAACCCGGGGACTGCCTGTATTCCTGAAATATGAACATTGTCCAGAACTGAATTTTCTCTTTCAATAATATACTGATAGCAATGCAGGAGGGTGGGCGGAACAAAACTGCAAAGTAATTACTTGTATAGGACAGATGCTTATGAATTTGGGTTCAACTGGCTACAAATAGAACAGCTGTAGCCTTTATTACAAGTAATGTTTCTTAAATGCCAGTCTTTAGGCAATAGCCAAACTTCGTTTACAGTAAACAACTGCCTAACACCTTAATTTCTTTGCACCATATAAACCATATTTTATTAGTTAGAGCAAAGCTATCTAAAGGCCTGTCCATGCATGATTTGACTGGAAGATGAAAAGTACATCTTTGGACAACAGTACAAAAATTAAGTATGCAGTACAGCATTTACTTGACCATCTACAGATTAAGTCAATTGCAAAGTAGCTCCACACCTGTAATATAGATTCACTGATGCCAGAGAAAAGGGTATATTATCTTTACTGTTGGAGTGTAGCATAGAATTTTAATGTAAATTGTAATAAGGGAAAATTATAATCTCTTTACGAGAAAGCATCAAGGAAATAGATTTAGTTTGTTAATGAAGCACAGACTTAAGGTTTTTATATTTTAAACAGTATGGGGACAACCAATGTTTTGGTCCCATAAATAATCATCACTAATTGAAGAGAGAGAAACTAGGATAAAAGGAGTATGTGATTCATATTTTTATTATGTGTCTAAAAACTTTAATTGACACTTAATGTCAACCAACACACAAAAGGTTGGCTTCTGTTCATCTATGTTCTTGGTAAAGTACACAAGCAGCTCTGCTTCATGATGAATTAAGAGTTTGAGTATGAACCAACCAAAGAACTTTACTACAGAGTAAAGAAAGGGCATTTTATATTCTGACGCAAGATACCAAAAGGCATTATGAAAAAGTAAAATAGTATCATACACATCTGTATTGGTATCCACTGTTCTTAAAGCAACTTCTGATCTACTATTGTACCTTAAGTTTTAATTTTTCCTAGATTACCTTGAAAGACTAGATTCTAAAACATGTGAACCCTAAGGACAGCAGTTTACTACTATGCCATAATCTAATCAATCTAAGATAAATGAAATGAGGAGTATACTAGCATGACATGAACCAACCCATTCTCATTTTAAGCTATTAGATCAAAGGTGACAGAGTTGAGCAAACTTACAGGAACCAGTTTCCAAAACCATTTGGTAGGAGACTTCAGAGGAAGCAGTGGGAAAAAGAAAAAAGCGAAGAGCAAAAGGAAAAAAATTATCAGATTTTACAGTTTATCTTTACATTGGCACTTTAACTTTCAGACATGATAAAATGCAATTCAATAATGAAAATGATCATTTTCAGTTTATCAACAGAATAATTTTCCCCCAATAAGAAACAGATTTTTAAATCAGTATTCTGCAATCAATGTCTGAGAAATTCATCTGAGACTATGATATCACAGCATCAAAATGAAACAAAATACAGGACTATGTAGCACTTTAAAGACTAACAAGATGGTTTATTAGGTGATCAGCTTTCGTGGGCCAGAAGAAGTGGGTCTGGCCCACGAAAGCTGATCACCTAATAAACCATCTTGTTAGTCTTTAAAGTGCTACATAGTCCTGTATTTTGTTTCAGCTACACCAGACTAACACGGCTACATTTCCATCAAAATGAAGTGACTCAGAACATAAAATATGCAAAAAAAGCTAAGGCAACATATAGTAACCGGTCTAAACATGCTTGTTTAGCAATATTACAAATTTCCAGTGAGTTTTGTAACAGTTAATTCTAATGAAAACCAGTAATGTTTCATACAAGTTTAAAAATATTTTGTAAATTTAATTGTATGACAATCTTCAGAAAAATGAAAGGTACAGGCAATCATGTTTTTGCAATGACAAGTCACATTGGCATCAGCTATATGATGGACAATGATCGGAATGTACAGCCTACTATACGTAGTTTTCTTTTAGCTACTTTTAGGAAAGAGAAAAAAATCAGAATTGGTGGATTTAATAATAATAAATTGAACTATAAAATATGTATGATAATAAAATTACCAAGTAATCAGATTTGCAAATACAATGAACTCACTCTAAATGTTTAATCCCAAATCCACTGAAAAAAAATTAAAATTATTGCATTGATTCAAAGGCTTTTAGATTAGTCCCTAACTATGCTTATGTGTTTCAGAAAAATATTTATTACAAAAAAAGAGCTACCTGCTTATAAAGGTAACTGTTGTTTTTTAAGATCTGAGTATAGACTCAGGTGTGTATGCATCCAATGCATGAAAGGTGGAAAACTTTTCCCAGCAGTGCCAGCAGGGGGTGGCACTCATGTCCTCCAGCTCTCAGCCCCTCTTCCCTGGCAATTTAAGGGCAGTGCTACCCCAACTGCTCTCAGTCCCTTTGCGCCAAACATTAATACAAGACACTCTGGTACAGAGGGGATGGAGAATGGGCTGTGGAATATGTGTCTCCACCCACATCTTGGAGAACAACTGTCACAGTACAGGTAAGTAACCATTTTTCTGAGAGGTTGTAGATGGGTATTCCACTCAGTTGACTCACAAACACTACTTTAGGGTGGTGCGGCATGGAGTCTAATTTAAGAACTGCAGGATTGCATTCCCAAAGTTTGCATCTAACCTAGATATGGTGTTATTGCATAGTGCTTGATAAAATATATATTTACACAACCCTGGGTAGCACTGAGGAATGCTATTGATATTGTTTGGGCCCTAAAATGAGCCCATAATCTCTGAGGAAGCACAGTCGGAGGAACAGTTATTTTATATGCTATTGTAATGCAGGAAGTTATCCACCTAGAAATAATCTGCCTAGTTTACCTGACCCTTCCTTTTATCTGAATAGGAGACAAAAAGATGAGGGATGAATGAAAAAGCTTATTCCTCTTTAGAGAAAACACCAAGCATTGTCTCACATCCAGTTAATGAAGTTGCTGTTCATATGCATTTGAGTGTAGTTAAAAATATTACTTAATTATGGTGAAATGGGGAAACCACTTCCAACAAAAACTTTGGATGTAGTCGTAGGGCCACCTTGTCTTTGAAAACCTGTATTAATGGAAGCTCTGCCATCATGGCCTGCAGCTCGCTCACTCTCATTCAAGCTAGAGCAAGAAGAAACGCTATCTTCTGCATAGGAGGGACAGAGAACAGGTTGCCAGGGGTTCAAATGAAGGCCCCATAAGAGCATTGAAGATGTAGCAGATACATCAAAATGTCCCATATATACACTACCCTTGATTGAATCCCCTGGACTAGTGATCACATCAGAAAAGTGCAAGTTGGTTTTGAACTGGTAATTCTTGTAGACAGTTTTCTATTATTGAGTAGCACTTGTTTAAACAGCATTTCTCTTCATCTAAGCATACAGCATTCTGTGCCATTTTATTTCAGAAGGTTAAAAAAAGTTACTGGAGGGAAGCTGTTCTAGATTTGATTTTAACAAATAGGGAGGAACTGGTTCAGAATTTGAAAGTGGAAGGCAGCTTTGGTGAAAGTGATCATGAAATCATAGAGTTCATGTTTCTAAGGTATGGTAAAAGGGATAACAGCAAAATAGAGACAATGGATTTCAGGAAGGCAACTCCGAGAGCTGGTAGGTAAGGTCCCATGGGAAGCAACACTAAGGGGGAAAACAACTGAGGAGAGTTGACAGTTTTTCAAAGGGACATTATTAAGGGCCCAAAAGCAAGCTATTCCACTGTGTAGGAAAGATAGACAGTATGGCAAAAGACCACCTTGACTTAACCAGGAGATCTTGCATGATCTAAAAATAAAATAGGAGTCATATAAAAAATGGAAACTAGGACAAATTACAAAGGATGAATATAAGCAAACAGTACAGGTATGCAGGGACAAGATTAGAAAGGCAAAGGCACAAAATGGGCTCAAATTAGCTACAGATATAAAGGGAAACAAAAAGACATTCTATAAATATATTAGAAGCATGAGGAAGACCAAGGACAGGGTAGGCCCACTGCTCAGTGAGGAGGGAGAAAGAGTAACAGGAAACCTGCAAATGGCAGAGGTGCTTAATGACTTTTTTGTTTCAGTCTTCATCAATAAGTCTGATGATGAAGGAATGTCTAACACAGTGAATGCTAGTGGGAAGAGGGTAGGTTTAGAAGATAAAATTTTTAAAAAAGAACAAGTTAAAATCATTTAGAAAAGTCAAACATCTGCAAGTCACCCAGGGCCTGATGAAATGTATCCTAGAATACTCAAGGAGCTGATAGAGGCGGAATCTGAGCCTTTAGCTATCATCTTTGGAAAGTCATGGAAGACAGGAGAGGGTTCCAGAAGACAAGAAAAGGGCAAATATAGTGCCCATCTATAAAAAAGGAAATAAGAACAACCTAGGAAACTACAGACCAGTTAGTTTAACTTCTGTGCCAGGGAAGATACTGGAGCAAGTAATTAAGGAATTCATCTGCAAACACTAGGAAGATAATAAGGTGATAGGGAACAGCCAGCATGGATTTGTAAACAACAAATCATGTCAAACCAATCTGATAGCTTTCTTTGATAGGATAACGATTCTTGTGGATAAGGGAAAAGCGGTGGATGTGGTATACTTAGACTTTAGTAAGGCATTTGATATGGTCTCGCATGATATTCTTATCAATAATCTAGACAAATACAACTTAGATGGGGCTACCACAAGGTGGGTGCCTAACTGGCTGGATAACCATTCTCAGCAAATAGTTATTAATGGTTCACAATCCTGCTGGAAAGGCATAACAAGTGGGTTCCGCAGGGGGGCTGTTTTGGGACCGGATCTGTTCAATATCTTCATCAACGATTTAGATATTGGCATAGAGAGTACACTTATTAAGTTTGCAGATGATACAACGATGGGAGGGGTTGCAACTGCTTTGTACGATAGGGTCATAGTTCAAAATGATCTGAACAAACTGGAGAAATGGTAAACAGGATGAAGTTTAATAAGGACAAATGCAAAGTACTCTACTTAGGAAGGAACAATCAGTTTCACACATACAGAATGGGAAGCAACTGTCTAGGAAGGAGTAAGGCAGAAAAGGACCTAGGGTCATACCGGACCACAAGCTAAATGAGAGTCAACAGTGTGATGCTGTTGCAAAAAAAGCAAACATGACTATGGGATGCACTAATGCCGTGGTCCCCAACACGGTGCCCGCGGGCGCTATGGTGCCCGCGGGGGCATTTGCATGCACCCGCCAGGTGCTCGGGGCTGGCCTGGCCCCGGGCACATGGCACGGCGCTTGCAGGGAGCGTCAGCTCCGGAAGGTCTAGGGAACATGAGCTATGAGGAAAGACTGAAATAATTGGGCTTGTTTAGTTTAGAAAAGAGAACAGTAAGGAGGGACATACTTGAAAACTTCTATCACCTAAAAGAGTGTCACAAGGGGAGGAGGAGGGAATTGTTCTCCTTGGCCTTTGATGACAGGACAGGACAAGAATCAATGGGCTTAAACTGCAGCAAGGGAGGTTAAGGCTGGACATAGGGAAAAGCTTCCTAACTGTCAGGGTGGTTAAACACTGGAATAAATTGCCTAGGGGGGTTGTGGAATCTCCATCACCGGAGATATTTAAGAGCAAGCTGGATAGACATCTATCAGGGATGATCCAGACAGTGCTCAGTCCTGCCGTCACCTCTCGAGGTCCCTTCCAGTTCTAGGTTCTATGCCCAAAGCTTTGACTAATACGTGCTTTCTAAAGATTCTTATGGAGATGCCTATCTACTAGAACTGGAAGAGACCTTGAAAGGTCATTGAGTCCAGTCCCGTGCCTTCACAGCAGGACCAAGTATCATCCCTGACAGATTTTGCCCCAGATCCCTAAATAGCCTGCTCAAGGACTGAACTCACAACCCTGGGTTTAGCATGCCAATGCTCAAACCACCAAACTATGCCCTTCTCCGATGATAGACATGCTGTATTATTATTAAAGTATACTCACTGAAACTTTGTAAAAAAAGTAGTCAAAATGTGTGAAAGTTCATGGTGTTATTTTTTATAGTTATTTACTGTATGACATATTGCCTTACATACTTTTTGAACTGTGGAAAGTAACTGCAGAAAGTAAACAAATTTCATTTAGTCTGCATATGAAATAATTTTTTATGAAAAAAAATGATCATACACCAGGAGAGGGAGTATTTAATGCATTTCCTCTGCAAACCCACTGTGTTTCATTGAGGTTCTGTATTTTGAGAATCCCACACCATTTAGAAGTGGTTAAGTTTTAGGTGGGACATACACAACCACCCTTGGATTTGAACATTCCAACCATTTTTATGAAAATATCCGCTTCCCATTGGGTTCAATTCCACTCTCCTTCACTTAAAACTAATAAAACCCAAAGAAGAAAGAAAATTCCTATGGATTTTCAAAGGCATTATATTCAAAGAACTCCCAGTTACATGTAATTTATGCTTACTGTTGACTTTGTGTAGTTTAGGGAATGAGACTGAGGTTAGGGCCAGGCTATCTAATAATGTTAGCTAAACCAGACTTAATCACATTATTAATTCATAATACGTAACCATTTTGTGTTACACTCTAAATACATATTGTTTACACGCTAAATATTTATTGTAGTATTTCTAAATAAAGTTACAACTGCATACAAGGCTTTGAGGAATATATACTCAGTTTTCTTCTGTTTCTGGCTCAAGTAAAATTTATTGAGTAGAAGAGAATTATAAAATGTACTGAATAACTTTGTCTGTCTCTAGCATAAGCAATCTTCTTTAGTTTGGCCAGAAACTAAAATGAAAAATAAGTCTTCAAGTCCTTGAAATCTCTATGTAGATTTTTTCTTCTGATACCTGCTTGGTTACTTGTGCATACTGGTGAGACAGAAACATTCTCTCTCCTTGCTCCTTTTCCAGTTCAAGCTCCAGAGTGCAACTAATACAGGTTTCCACAATCATGCCCCTTCTTGAGAGCCATAGCTTAAAAAAAAAAAAACCAGGAAATCTGAAGTCTCAGCAGTACGTGGCGAGAGTAGCAGCCCATGTAAATAGCAAGAATCTTCAATGATGCTTAAAGCTGTAGAACAAGGTACTTTTGAACTTCAAGCCATGTCAGCCACATGAAGAACTCACATTACAGCAGAAAGCCTCAGTCTGCAAAGAGCGATGAAAAGAAGCAGAAGAGGCACATTGAACCCCCTGATGTAATATATTTCCAAGTTTTAATGGAAGCAACATGTTGAAGGGGATAAGAAGCAACAAGGAAAGAGGGTACAGTGATGGGCTCCCAATGTAAACACAGAGCTAGAACTGAATGTGAACGGAACGACTAACATTTCCAAAATTCAGGTGTCTAAATTAAAGTAACTGAATAAGTGTCCTTATTTTCAAAGTGGTACCTTGAGCTCCTAATTCTATCATCTGTGTGGTCAACATTTATGAAAATCATGCCACTTACTTGTGTAAATATGGGATTTTTTTCATTTTTTAAAGTATTTAGAACATTGATTATTTAGAAACAGTAAGTAGTACATCTGAATAATCTAAAAAGTATAACTACAACTCTTTGGCTATTACAACAGCAGATTTCAGTCTAGAGTGTTTGATCCAATTAGGTATCTATTGATACCAGTCACTTAGTTCCCAAGAAGGGCATGAAAATGAGAGAAAAAAGCCAACATCACACTGAGTAGTCAGTAGTGACAGCTGCAATTGTATGTCAGCAGCTGTAGGACACTGGCCCAGGAGCTAACAGTCTGTTGTGTAAATGTCAGTATGAGATGTTGGGGGTCAGCAAAGATCTATTATGTGAAATGACATCTCAGTGGCACCGAGCTGTGAAGAAAGAAAAGGAATAGAGGGATGAAGAGTCAGAACTTGGAAACAGATACACAGTGTGCTGCACAAAAGTTTGTGTGTGATTTTTGAAAGACATTTGATAGCACCAGCATTATACTTAACAGTTAAGCTGATCCTAGCACCTTAACAGAAAACTGTTTATGGGAATTCCAGTCAACTTTATTAAAAGGTGACTTGAATTACTTTTTAAAAATTTTATCTTTAGTGTTCTTCAGAATGGTTCAATATGTTCCACATCACAAAAATATAATTTCTAACACAGATTGTGATGAGTTTCAAGATCTCAGCAGTAGTGTCTACATGTGAGAGTATTAACTTCAGTAATAAGTGATAGTTGAAGTACAGTATGAGAGACACACAGGACTTTAGGAGTGTGTTTCTAGCATAAATGGGATATAATAGGAGTAAGGAATGGCAGAGTCATTTCAGTGTCAACCAGGAGAGTTTAGGAGATGGCAATATTCAAGCAGACATATCAAGACTACATAGGTGCTTGCTTTGACTTGCTTTATTAAATAGCAACATGCTCCTAAGATCACCAGGAATCCCCGGAAACGTTTGGTGTTGGGTACTGAGCACTATTAAGAGTACTCAATTCATTGTAGTGTTGGCTACATTTAATAAAGAATTTACAACGCAACTGCACATTTCCAAAGTATGTCTTGTTTTCATATGTATGCACAGTCTTGCAGTTAAATATTTAAAACTTGTACACCTACCTTTTGACCTCCTGGAGTTTCTATACCATGATGCTCTTTTAATTTTTGTTCCTGTTCCATAATGTCTTTCAAATGTTCATTTATCTAAAAAGAGAGACATTTTTCAAGTGATCTCTTCTGTTTTTGAAAGAAGCAGTCCTCTGACTAGTTTTAACCACTGAAACATGATACTCAATACTATCAGGGTCTGTTGAAGCCAACCTAGAACCCAAATCAAAGACACTGAATTGAACTCCCAGCTGCAAAGCTCAAGATTCAGTGTGTAACATTATCTAATCCCACCTCCCAGTAACCTCATCTGCCCCAAACTTCTGAGATGACGGTGCTCTGTCCTCAAATCAGTATGTTTGTGGAGAGATTTTAGGGCCCTGCTCACCAACTGGGTTGGACCCACCCAACCGCTTAGTCAAGAGAAGGTTCTCGCTGGTAGAGGAGAAGCCCCAAAGGGCAGGGGTGCCCATGCTGGAAAGTGAATCTGCCCCACACACATCCTGCAATAGCAGCTTCTGTTCCAATAGAGTGGGCCTGACTTTCTTTGCTCAGAATATTGCAACCTGGCAGAGGGACAGCAGGGCCAACTTGAATGATACTCTGATCCCATACACCAGATTACAACATCTATGGTGAGGAGATGGGCCCAAACCCACAAGACAGGAGTCACTACAACAACATGAATGAAATGTAACTCTTTGCTGCAGCAATCTGGCATTAGAATTTCAGTACCAGCATGGTGGGTGGCCAGTGTCTCCTCTGTGAATCAAGAAGAAGGGCACAGCCTTCGATTTTGGGCTTTTCCACAATTTTTGACATTGGGTGGGTTGCAGAAAAAAGACAAAATGCAGTTGGTGGGTCTCCATAGTGAAAGCTTGGGAATCCCTGATTTGGGGAATGCTGGCTTGAGGTTTATAGTTAAACATGTTGAGGAGCCCGAGATATGCCCCAGCTATGAGCAACACGAAAGGGAGTAATCACCAATTTCCAGGAGCCTCTTAGCTATCACTATCATAGGACTCACTGACAGCATGACCCAATATTTACTTCTCCTCAGACAGAAATGCAACAGAAATCTGGGGCCATCTGAGCCAGCAGATTTGCCAAAGGTATGTGATCGGTCTCTGAATATACCAGATACTGACAGGTACATTTTATTACAATAGGCTGCTATTATAACTGAACATTTTGTTTACTGTATAGTAACTCATCAAGTTGAAAACCTCATACTCAAAATATGCTTAGGTATAACAGAGGGCCCAGTTTCCAACTGGATTTCATTACACCAGCACTGGAGCTCTCAACTTCATTGCACCACGATGACCTGCCCCTTTGACAATAAAGTTACTACATAACATGAGGGGGTGTCAGAGCCAGAGCCCAGCCATCTTGGGTCAGGGGAAAAACGGTGCCCAAGTCCCGCTGCCCCAGGTGGGATGGAACTCAGGTTTCAGCTTCAGTCTTGGGTCCTAGGAAACCTAATGCTGGCCCTGGCGACTCCATTAAAATAGGGTCATGGCTCACTTTGGGGACCCAACCCCCAATTTAAGACTCCTGCACTAGAGAAAGCCAAGGACATAGTATCTATAGGTGTTGTTAAATGATTTAATCATACCAACAAAATTAATCAGTAACTGGTCAGGTTTCATCTCTCTCAAACTGTTTTCCTCATACCAGGCACTGCAGTCAAAACTTGAATTTCAACAGAATGTTTTAATTCATTATAAAAACTTAATTTTTTCCCTATCCTTGCTGAAAGTGAATAATGAACATCCTATATTAAATGAAGTCTGAATATACATAATTTCCACCTATGGCTAGCTGAATCATGTTGATTGTCTTTTCAATTTAAGCATACATTTGCTTTGTTCTTACCTTATTTATCCAGTACATGACAGCATCCTCAATATCATAGGGAAGTTCTGTAGCTTGGAAGAAGGCTGAATACTGCTGAACACATGCAATCACCTTTTCAACACTGACCATCTCTGCTGTATATGCCATCATCAGGGTATCAACCATTGCCAGATGGGCACTCTGCAAGAAAGAAGTTATAAAATCATTTTAAGAGAACATTTGTTTATTTTACAAAATTTAATACTCTAGCCCAGCAGTTCCCAACCACTGGTCCGTGGACTGGTACCGGACCCCAAACCACTGGCTGCCAGGCCGCGGTGGCTGCCAAAGCTAAAGATGGCTGTTCACAGTGGCTCAGCTCTGGCAGCGGTGGTGGCTGCTTTTGTCTGCTGGCGGCCTGGAGCTAAGGTGGCGGCAGGAGGAAGCGGAGCAGAAAGCGCCTCTTCCCTCCTTCCCCCCAGGTAAGATGGCAGCCCGGACCCCTGCCTCTACTCATAGGGTGTGTCTAGACTACTGAGTTTTGTCGACAAAAGTGGACTTTTGTCAACAAAACTATACCAGCGTCTACACTACCGCTGAGTTCTGTCGACATAACGTCGACAGACCTCATTTTACGAGGCATAACACCTTCTGTCGACAGAGTTCTGTTGACAGAAGGTGTTATTGCCTGTAGGGTTGCGTCTAGACTACAGGGTTCTGTCGACAAAGCAGCTTGCTTTGTCGACAGAACTCAATGTGTCTGGACGCTTTTTGTCGACAGAAGTTTTGTCGACAGATACTGTCGACAAAACTTCTGTCGACAAAACCCGGTAGTCTAGACGTACCCATAGAGGCGTGAGATGCGCTTGGGGAGGGAGGGAGTGCGAAGGAAGAGAGAGTGTGCATGCCACCAATGGCTGCTCCCTCAGCGCACGCAGCAATAACAGCCACGCTCTGCAGAAGAGGGGGCAGCCTAACTCTGGGGAGTACGGGGGTGAGGGCATAGGGGTGTTGGGCAAGGGTGTGGTGTGTGAGAGGGTGTTGGCTGAGTTCTAAGGGTCAGAGGTTAAAGGGTGAAAGGCCACAGGGAGTAGGGGTTTGGGGACAAAGGGTGTTAAGCACTGGGGAGCAAAAGGCTGAGTTGGCTAGGCGGACAGGTAACATTTTCTTTGCATATTTGCATATTCTTTATTTGCACAATGAATATTCAAATAAAAATATTACTGGTCCGCCTCAAGTTTGTGAATGGGTTTGCCGGTCCGTGGTATAAAAAAGGTTGGAAACCACTGCTGTAGTCTCTATTTTTCATTAAATTACTTTTAGATGTATATGCACCTATAAAACCACCACCAAAAAACAAAAAAACCCACACCTCCAAAAGAAGTCTGATAACTGACTGCCAGCTTTGGCCAAAGGATTATGCTGGAAACATGCACAGCAGTTTTTAAAACGCCAACAGAAAGCACAAGGACATGCGCTTGAAAAAAATGCTTTTTGAAAAGTGAATGACCTGTACTGCCATAGGATGAACACTGCAACAACAAAAACAAAACACAAAGTGTGATTGTAAGGTCAGATGTAAAAATAATGAAAAAATACAGGAATCCTCACTAAATTTTATTGTCACCACAAATATACATGAAATGATTTTCAAGTTTATTTTATAAGTATAAATAAGAGTAGAAAAATCTGTTACCCACTTTTATCTGTACCTGAAAAGGGCAGAGCTGCACAATAAACTCCCTTTGATTACTTCCAAGATACTGAATTTGTACATAGAAAATCTGTTTTTGTATCATGTCAAAATTTATGAAAAATCCATTAAAATTAAATTAAAATACGATAAAATAAATAAAAATACACAAGTAAAATAAAACTTTCACTATAATCAGTGCATGGTGAGAGGAAAGACTCAAGATGTCAGAAGAAAATTATAGCAGAAATATTACAAAGGTTACACAATTAGTTTTAAACTTGAATATATGTGATATAAACTCAAAGGTAAACTGTGTTAATATGGAAAGCATCAAATTCTCCTCATTTTATGGGCTACAAAATAAAACTGTGTCAGTTTCATTATCAGTAACTATTAAAAAACAAAAAAGAAACACATGACCAAATAAGGAAACTTCAGAGATTTTTATCTATTTTATTTAATGTATTTATTTAATCTGACTTGATTAACGTGGGGCAGGGAACCAGGAGCATGCTGAAAGCATACTCTTGTAGGTGCAGCAGAAGGCTGCAAGAAGGCAAGCAGGCCCTCCAAGTCCCCCCTTGTCCCAGCTAGGCCGGGGATGTCCAGAGACTTTAGTTACCAGAGGTGGCCCCCCAACCCCAGTCAAAACCAGGGCACAGTTTTGTTTTGTGCTAGAGAATAAACAGTGTCCTGGGAAAAGGGTACAAATATAAATGAGCGTGCCTCTCTGGTCAGCAGATCAACCAGCTTACAGCTGCATTTTATGGCTGTGTCTCACAATGAAAATGAAGATTCCAAAGAATTCAGTGTTACCACTGCAAATAAATTCTATATTGCAGCATTCATACAAACATTTCATGAAGCACAGCAGTTAATAACTTGGTAACACTGATGAACAACAAGCCGCAATGAAAGCTACTACTGTATATAATATTAGTTGGGATCGCATACGTAAATCATGCTACATCTTATTACCAACAATTATTAAGTTTGCATTGCCCTATCTCACTCCTCTTGTACGTCCTGCCTACCTCTAAGATGAACATTTTTATCATTTCCACATCAAAAGTGTGATGCATTTACAGTTATAAGTGACAAAAGAATATTTGTTTTCAATGCAAACACAACAAAGCTAGAAATTCACATGTTCATAAAATATTAAAATCCAGATCAATCACAGTTACATGCTTTATCCCTCAAACATCATGACGAGGTTCCTCCAAAATGCATGGTCCGTTTTGGTCAATTTCACAGTCATAGGATTTTAAAAATTGTAAAGGTCATAATTCCAGATATTTAAAAATGAAATTTCACAGTGTTGTAACTGGAGGAGTTCTGACTCTGAAAGGAGTTGTAGGGAGGTTGGGATACTGTTATCTTCACGTCTGCGAAGGTGCTGACAGTGACGCTGCCATCAGAATTAGGCAACCAAAGAGCAGTGGCTGCTGGCCGGGAGCCCAGTCCTGAAGACAGAGGTGCTGCCAGCAGCAGTGCAGAAGTAAGGATAGCACAATATGGCATTGCCACCCTTACTTCTGCACAGTTGCCTTCAGAACTGGGCACTCTGCCAGCAACCACCTCTCTTCAGCCGCGATACCATGATTCCTCTAAAATAACCTTCATTTGGATCCTGACCCCAGTTTAAGAAATGCTGGTCTCTCCCGATTAAATCTGTTTAGCACAGGGCAGTGATGGACAACCAAGCCTAGTGAGTAGGCAGTATAACAGGCCCTCCAACTCAGTGGGCCACAAGATCATCATAACTAAGGGAGTCTCCTGGGATAGGGTAACTCCAGTAGCTGCAGGGAAGGGGGAGGGCTGATGCTTGTGGCAACCAAGCTGCTACCAGCTCAGGGGTCAATGCTAGCAGTAGCAGCCAGTGTTTCCTCTAACATTTTCTATCTTTGGGCGGGTTGAATTTTTTTATGTGAAACACCAATATTGAGATCATGTGTGGACGTGCACCAATACAAAAAAAACAAAACACACACACACACACACACACACACACACACTTTAAGCAGTCCATATGTGCGGAAGAAAATACATTAAAAGAAGACCCCTGTGTCTAGTTGCTGCGAGGTATCCTTAGTGACTACAAAGCTAGGGAATTCTTCTTCTTCCACTGGAGGAAAAGTACAAGCCCCAGAAGAAGTTAACATGTGGCTTCAGGGTCTGTAGACAGAAGCATGTTTCAAAGAGCTTGCAAATACAGTTTCGTCCTACAAAACTACCACCACACCTAGTGCTTGCTATTTCTGACTTATAAGAGCCAGAATTCTACTGCATAGCAAAAATCTGGACTTAATGCATTACAATTTACCATGTATTACTTAGTAACACGGGAGTTTAAAAAATCATTAATTTCAGAGTTTTAGATACCTGCAAGCCTCCAAGAAAATTTTATTCAAAGAATCTTTCTCTCTCTTACATTAAGCCGTTAAACACCTATGTCAATTTTGTTTGAAATGCAATCATGCAAATGTTCTCCTAGCACTCACCACCTCCATGCAGAACAGTGATAGAAATGTAGCCGTTTTAGTCTGGGGTAGCTGAAGCAAAATGCAGGACAATGTAGCACTTTAAAGACTAACAAGATGGTTTATTAGATGATGCGCTTTCGTGGGCCAGACCCACTTCCTCAGATCAAATAGTGGAAGAAAATAGTCAAAACCATATATACCAAAGGATACAATTAAAAAAAATGAACAAATATGAAAAGGACAAATCACATTGCAGAACAGAAGGGGGATGCCCCCCCCCCGCCCTGCATTCCCCTCCTGTTCTGCAATGTGATTTGTCCTTTTCATATTTGTTCATTTTTTTAATTGTATATATATATATATATAGTTGTGACTATTTTCTTCCACTATTTGATCTGAGGAAGTGGGTCTGGCCCACGAAAGCTCATCATCTAATAAACCATCTTGTTAGTCTTTAAAGTGCTACATTGTCCTGCATTTTGCTTCCCCTCCATGCAGCTTGCTTTCCCCTGCTCCCTCCAATGCAGCCTATTAGAGAGGCAGTGAGTCAGGGTACCCCAAACAAACTGCTCCTACCTCCACCTCACTGCATAGATACCAG